TTCCTTCCTTCCTTCCTTCCTTCCTTCCTTCCTTCCTTCCTTCCTTCCTTCCTTCCTCCCTTCCTTCCATCCTCCCTCCCTCCCTCCCTTCCTTCCTTCCTTTCCTACTTTCCTTTCCTTCTTCCTTCATCCCTCCCTCCCTCCCCACCTCTTTCTTTCTTTCTCTTTCTCTTTCTTTCTTTCTTTCTTTCTTTCTTTTCTTTTCTTTTCTTTTCTTTTCTTTTCTTTTCTTTTCTTCTTTTCTTTTCTTTTCTTTTTCTTTTCCTTCCTTCCTTCCTTCCTTCCTTCCTTCCTTCCTTCCTTCCTTCCTTCCTTCCTTCCTTCCTTCTTTGTCTTGTCTTTCCTACAGTAATTCCAATTGGTATAATCACATGCTTCTCAAAAATTGCTCTGTTACTGGCTGTAGTTAGAGCAGTAATTCTGCAAGTGGCAGAATCATCCGGAGGGGTTGATACAAATACAGGTTTCTGAGTTCCAACCTCAGAGATTCTGATTTGGTAAATCTGGGGAGGGGCCTGAGAAGTTGCATTTTTAATAAGTTCCTTGGTGATGCCCGTGCTGCCTTGTGGGGACCACGCTGTAAGAACCCATGATTATAAATGTAAAGGAAAGAAAGAAAAAGAAAACCAGTGTGTTGTGCTTTCAATGTATCCTTTCCTCAAGCAAGGACTTGGAGTAGGTGCTGGTACTTCATGTCCATTTCTTGAATCCCCTAATTCTGTGATTCTGTTTACACTGGCCCAAAGACATGGATATTATCCACCTTTAACTGTTAGGTTCTAGAGATTAAAACTCTCAAATAGGTTAATATTTTCAAGTCAACCTAGGTATTCCAGCAGTGGGTAAGAACAATTCATTATTAAGTCAAATTGCTTCATGAAACCTTATCTTTCCTTGAAGGCTTTTCTTGGGATCCAGTTCACATATGTCCTAAGTTTTAGGTACCAGTGACTTCCTTTTGCTGCCTCTGCCTGCCAGGACAAGTCCGCTCCAAAGTTTGTTTGAGAGAACATCTTTTCTCTTCTCTAATAGCAATGAGTTTGGAAGAAACTCAAGGTGACATTGTCTTACCATTCCTCTTTTGAAGACTCTCTTTCATACTGTCTACTAATAATTGCTAACTTTTCAAAGGAGCCAGGGGAGATTAATATTCCGCAAAAGTGGATTTATAGCCAGTCACCTCTAAGAACATAGCCTGAGTCACTCTCCCTGACTCATGCTCACTCCAGAATATAGATAAAAATCTTCTTTTTAAACATAGAAAATTTATGAGCAAACTTCAAGGTCCTCCTTCCAAATTTAGCAATTAATCTTGAAGCCAGATAGGAAAAACAAGTGAAGGCTATTTGTAAAGCAGCACAAAAGGATATCCCAAATTTGGGTTTTCAGGCTGTCCACAGGTTGTGACTCCATTGACCTTTTGTCCTTCATGCTTCCTGCATTCTCCGAATTAGGGATAAGGCAAAATCTTCCCCAGTTATAAGACCTAAGTGGTTTAAAATATAAGCTGCTTTTCAGAATCCACAGAACAGATTGATAAGTATTAAAATAATAGCAATGCATTTATTGAGTATGTGTCCCTGTTTTAATGACTGAATCTCAAATTAAAAATTTTTTTCTTCATTTTTTATTTTTAAAATTGTATTACATTTTATCTGAAGTTCCAGGATACACGTGTAGGACATGCAGGTTTGTTATCGATATGGTTTGGCTCTGTGTCCCAACCCAAATCTCATCTTGTAGCTCCCATAATTTCCACATGTGTGTGAGGGACCCAGTGGGAGATGACTGAATGTTGGGGGTGGGTCTTTCTTGTGACTGTTCTAGCGGTTGTGAATGGCTCTCACAAGATCTGATGGTTTTAAAAACAGGAGTTTCCCTGCACAAGCTCTCTTTTTTGGCCTGCTGTCATCCACGTAAGGTGTGACTTGCTCCTCCTTGCCTTCCACCATGATGGTGAGGCCTCCCCAGCCATATGGAACTGTAATTCCAATAAACTTCTTTCTCTTATAAATTGCCCAGTCTTGGGTATGTCTTTATGAGCAGCATGAAAACAGACTAATACAGTTACATATGTAAATGTGTGCCATGGTGGTTTGCTATACCAATCAACCCATCACCTCTGTATTAAGCCCTGCATGCATTAGCTATTTACCTTGATGCTCTCCCTCCTCCAAGCCCCCTGACAGGCCCTGGTGTGTGTTATTTCCCTCCCTGGATCCATGTGTTCTCGTTGTTCAGTTCACACTTATACGTGATAAGATGCAATGTCTGGTTTTCTGTTCCTGTGTTAGTTTTCTGAGGATAATGGCTTCCAGTTGCATCCATATCCCTGCAAAGGACATAATCTCATTTCTTTTTATAGCTGCAAAGTATTCCATGGTATATATGTACCACATTTTTTTAAATTCCATCTATCATTGAGGGGCATTTGGGTTGATTCCCTGTCTTTGCTATTGTGAATGGTGCTGCAATAAACATACGTGTGCATGTATCTTTATAATAGAATGATTTATATTCCTTTGGATATATACCCAGTAACAGGATTGCTGGGTCCAATAGTATTTATGGTACTAGGTCTTTGAGGAATTGCCATACTGTCTTTTACAGTGGTTGAGCTAATTTACATTCCCGCGAAGAGTGTAAAAGCATTTCTTTTTCTCTGCAACCTCACCAGCATCTGTTGTTTCTTGACTTTTCAATAATCACCATTCTGACTGGCAAGAGATGGTGTCTCATTGTGGTTTTGATTTGCATTTCTCTACTGATCAATGATGTTGAGATTTTTTTCGTGTTTTTGGCCACATAAATGTCTTTTTCAAAGAAGTGTCTGTTCATGTTCTTTGCCCACTTTTTAATGGAGATATTTTTCTTGAAAATTTGTTTAAGTTTCTTATAGATTCTGGATATTAGGCCTTTGTCAGATGGATGGATTGCAAAATTTTTCTCCTATTCTGTAGGTTGTCTTGAACCCTGAATTTTTAAGGGCCATTTAGTCCTTCTACTGACATTTTGTGATGGCTTCAAATATTTTCCCATTTTACAGATCAATAACCTGGGCAAAGAGAGGGAGTTAACTTTGCCTGTATCATAGCTACTAGTGGTGATGCCAGCACTAGAAGCCCAGCAGAAACTCTTAACCACATAATGTACAAATCAATCCAATCCAAACCAAAAGAAAACAAAAGAATAGAAAGCAACCTGACACAGGGATAAACTAGTCACAAGGAAGTCTTTGATTGATATTGTTTTGTTTTAATTCTCAGATCTTTAAAGGATGTTAGGGCAGCATATTTAAGTAAGAAGAAAGTTTTGTCAGGTGTCAAATGAATTCAGGGACTTCCAGCTTTTAAACTGGAACAGGAGAGATATAGGGCTCATAACAATTATAATATGTCCAATTGTTATAATTTTATGCTATATAAGTATATATACAATATATAATACACAATTAATAATATATATTATATTGATTACAATGTGTTATATAATATATGATATTTAGCATATATTATATAAAGTTTTTAGAGCAGGTTTATTAAGATGTACTTCATATATTATAAAATATATCATGGCATATAACTCAACACTGTTTAGTATGGCCACAGAATTGTGCAACCATCAACACTAATTCCAGAACATTTTCATTACTCCAAAGGAAACTCTGTACCCACTAATGGTCATTCGCTATCTCTCTCCTCTCCTCTTTTTGCCTGGCAACCGCTAATTTACTTGTTGTCTTTATGACCTTGCCTATTCTGGCCATTGCTATAATGGAATCACAAAATATAAGGTCTTTTGTGATGGGCTCCTTTCACTTAGCATAATGTTTTCAAGGTTCATTCATGTTTTAGAATGTATGAGCCACTGCTTCATTCCTTTTTATGGCCAAATTATAATCCATTGCATGGAATATACCACATTTGTCTATTAGTTAGCTGACAACGGACATTGGGGTTGTTTCCACTTTTTGGTGATTATTACCTAGATATAGAATTGCTGAGTCAAACAGTAACTCTAAGGATGAGGTGGGAGAATTGCTTGAACCCAGGAGGCAGAGACTGCACCACTGCACTCTAGCTAGGGTTACAGAGTGACAGCCTGTCTCAAATATGCACACACACACACACACACACACACACACACACAGTAACTTTATTTTTAACTTTCAAAGAACTGCCAGACTGTTATTCAGAAATGGCTACACCATTTTACAATCCCATCATCGATATATGAGGGTTCCAATTCTCTACCCTTGCCAATGTTTGTAACTGTCTGTCTTTTATTTTAATCATCCTAAGGGACATGAAGTGATATTTCATT